ATGTCATGTAACTAGGTGTAAAGGTTCCAAAACTATGTGAGACATTTATTTAATCAAATGGGGCAGCATGTGTATTAGCTGCCAAACAGGCCCAGATTTTAAGGTTTGGGGCCTGACAAGGACTGAGTCTAAATGAACTCTAACCCAAGACATATATTGTCCATTACTCAACGGTTAATGAATTTAAATCTAAAGGGACTTGGGCCTGACTGAGTCTAGATGAATCTGGCCCAAAACAATGTTATTAAGCATTCAATCAATTAAACACATTTAATTCTGGAAGATTCGGACCTACTAATGAGTCCAAATGACTCTGGCCCAATACCCACTTGTGACAAATAAATGAATTTAAAAGATAAGATTTGGGCCTGATGATAATGAGTCCAAGTGAACTCTAGCCCAATGCATATTTGTGTGAAGGAGTTTGAGATAAAATTTTGTAATGACATTTGTAAAGTTTTACCTATATTTTGTTTACCTTTTAAAACAGAAGTAAAAAGGGGTTTTGAATAAATCGAAATTTTGTTAAATTTTGGGCAATCTTTCTACTGATTTGCTTAAGTCTATATTTCGAAATGCTGGTTTTAAAACTCATTTGTATTTGAAAATCTTGAAGTGTAAAGGAAATTGATCAACTCATTTTGTTTAGTAAAAAAGAACACAATTCCATGAACCCAATTGGTTTTGGGCCTAAAAATGTATTATGGTTACCATTTAGCTTACTTGTAGAAATCTGATTTTTCATGACTTTAGGCTAACAACGATCGGAATTATTTAATTATTTAAAACAGTATGGTAAAGTTACTGATCTATTAAACTATCACACCAGAAAATGCAGTAAAACTAAATTATTACATTTTTTGCTAACTGAACAATGATAACCAAGCTGCCTATTCTAACAAAATTTTCTAGAAAATGATTTATTTGATACTGCTGCATACGAACATACAAATTTTATAAATGAAAGAAGCCTAAAACAGCGTAAATAACTAAATTTACATGAATTTATACATAACTCTTAAACAACCAACATGATTCATGTACCATTCAAACAAAATACAGATTCTTGATAACCAGCAAATCACACTCATTATACAGCAATATTAACTTTACATTGTTAAGAAAATACCTTGTCAGCAGCAAGAAAACAAAGCAAAGAGAGAAAATATGTCTCTGAAAACTTGAGTAAAAGCAGCAGCCAGAAAATCCAAACAGGAAAACCCAAAACAGCTTCCAATTAAAAATTCAGAAATCCCAAAAATAGTATGAAACCGGTAGGAGTTCTTTGCTAAAAGTGAAAGAAAGAGACTCCAAAAGCAGTGCAGAATCAGTGTATTTTTTAGGAAATTTTCTCTACTTTTCAGATCTATATCAGTGTATTTTTAGGTCTAAAAATATATATCCAGGTCTGTGTATAATAAAAAGAATGAGTGTATTTATAGAGGGAAGAAGTAAAAAAGGATAAGAATTAAGGTACAAAGAATCTGTCAAAATTCCCTATAAATTATGGAAAATGGCATCTTCTTAACAGAAATGGACAGCTGTCCAATTTCTAGTACCTTCCTTATCTCAGAAAATAGACAAGTGTCCAGATTTTGGATATTTTTGGATCTTATCCCTATTTTCCTACTCATCATTGGGACAGTTGTCCCAGTTCTAGAAAGTTCTAGTACTTTCTAAATTAATTTTAGAATTAAGTTTTCAAAATCGACCCTTAAGGGTCTTGGAATTACCTCAAAACCAGATTGGTTCTGGGCCTGAGTTAGGTGACTCTTGGCCTGAAGAGTTTGACTTTTAACAAAGCTATGGGCCTGTCTATTTAGCCAGGCGCAAAAAATAACAAAGTTATGGGCGTGTCTATTTAGCAAGGCCCAATTTTAACAAAAAATAAATAAATAATAATAAAATAACAAAGTTATGGGCCTGTCTATTCAGCCAGGACCAATTAATTTAAAAATAAATAATAGGAAATAAAACACAACAGAAAAAAAAATTAAAAAAATAAACTTAACACTGATTAATCCATTTTAATAAATTATTTAATGCAAACGAAATAACAAATGATGTAAAAATTAACAGCATATATTTAAGCCTTGATTTTGTATATTTTTTAATTAAGTCCGATTTAATTAGTTAATCTTAACGGAATATAGCTGATAATAATAATTAATAAAAAAATAAAAAAGAATAGATTATAATAATAAAATAATTAACAAAAGTAGAAAAAATGACAGAAAATAGCCAAAACTTGTAAAACAAAGATAAATCTAACCATGAAAAAACTCTCATGCCAAGACTCCCGTCTGGGATCTGAGATCCTTGATGGGAGATCTTGGCAGGAGGAGTTTTTGGCGGCTAGGTGGATTTTAGCGTTTAAAAAAAATCTAGTCGGAGAAAAAACCCTCATGCCAAGACCGCTATCTGGGATCTGAGAGCCGTGAAAGGAGTTCTTGGCATGAGGATCTTTAGACTGACTAAGTAGGATTTCTGGGAATTTAGATCTAAGATTTATCAAATTTGGTGATTTTTTGGGAAATCTATTGGTAGGATAAGGTTTAAGAGGGTGTAGGGAGTGTATGGTGTAAGTTTGAGTGGGTTTAGAGTTCCACCACCACCGTAAGGCGATTTCCGGCGGTGGCATGGGGGAAGGATTTTAGGGCGGCTAGGTTTTGGTGGTGGTTTAAGGTGGAGGAAGATGGTGGCGGCTAGGGATTTAGGGCGGCTAGGGTTTGGTTTAGAGAAAGGTGAGAGACGGGACGTCTCTAGAGTTAGATAAAGAGAGATGTGAGAGTGGGGAGGAACGAAATGAGGGGGGTGAAGGCGTTTGGACATTTATATACTAAATGGGTGAGGGAGTTTCGAGCCGTTGGATCTTATAGAGATCAACGGCTTAGATTAATTGACATCTAAACGACGTCGTTTGGTTTAGTGATGGGGCGGACCGATTTGGGGGTATTGGGCTTGGGCGCTTTTAAGTTAATTTTGGGGATTGGGCTGGTTTTACACTGGCCCAGTCCGAATTTAGGCTAACCTATTTTGTTTAATTAACTTTTAAGTCTATTTAATTTAAACAAATCCTAAATTAAGTGTTAAATTACCTTAATTTATAAAATTAAACCAACTATCTATTTGCATTATTTACACAATTAGTCAATCTTAGATTTAAAAAGGAAAATTGCTAATTTAATACTAAAACTTAAAAATGTCAAAACAAACAAATTTTTTTTTTGTGATTTTCTTTTAATGGAGTAATTAATTATGTACTTAGACATTGAATTAAATTAAAAACCTAACAATGTAATATGAAGAAGGTTTAAATATATTTTTTTAGTTTTCATAACTTTAAAAATAAACGAAAAAATGCTACTAAAAATGCAAATAATTCCAAATAAACACCAAAAAATCCTAAACCAAATCTAAAAATAAATAGGACTAATTTATTCATTAATTTTGTAGGAATATTTTGGTAAGATAAAAATCACATGCTCACAGTATTTCCTTTTCAGTAATACAATATACCAACCCCTGGTTACATTCTTTTTCAGTAATACAGGGTACCAACCCATGGTTGCATTCCTTCCTAGTGATACGAGACGCAACCCCTGGCTATATTTTCTTTTAGTGATACAGGGTGCCAACGCCTGGTTACATTTCCTTCAGTAATACAGGTTACCAACCCCTAGTTACATTCCTTTTCAGTAATATAGGATACCATCCTCTAATTCCATTTCCTTTTGGTAATGCATGGTACTATCCCGTGGTTGCATATCCTCACATAGCTAGTTGATATTGATTTCTTTGTTTCCCTTTTAATAAATTAGATAATTTATAGCTTTCTCTAATAACTCACAAAACATTTCTAGTGCCAACTTGGGGCAGAAAATATTGTTCGTCTTGTTCGTCTTTGATGGCTTTGCAGGACCTTGCCATAAAACACATATTGTAACGATTAAAGCTTGTAGTTTTAGTTATCTTTAGAAAAGAAGAGGTCTTTCGATCACAAGATTGTCAGAGTTAGTTTTGATAATATGCCAGTATCTCGGCTTTCCATGAATCAAGTTCCAAACTCAGATAAAAAAAGAAGATTTTTCTAGCAGAAAGACGGTTGGGGTCGAGCTTTGACGTAATACACACATCGACCAGCATCTCAAAATCTATCTTCTTGGCTTTTAATTATGAAGTCAACAAGCCCCAAGCTAAAGGCACTTACCTTCCAATGCGGGTTTATAAGGTTTCAAGTGAAGATGTAAGATGCAAGACACAAAGAGTAGATAGGATCTTGTATTTTTTTAGGATCACGGCCCAGAACCTCGACGGAACCTTACTCGACTCTCCAGCTCATCATTCCATCACTCTCCTTGAACTACATGCGACCTGATTCTCTTATAACCTGGAATATGTAAGCTAGCCGAAACTAGGACTCGGTTGCACTCTTTTCTCTTATTTCTTCCCTTTTGAATAATGATATAGTCAAAAATTAGTCACATGTCTCACCTTGTTTTCAAGCAAAGAGGAGCATATTGCTAGCACCTAATTTATTATCATATTTAAATGTTTATCACCTTCTACTATGTAAATATTTTTAGAGGTTTAATCTACAGTTTTTATCTTTGTTTCACCTTTTTTATAGGGTTAAAAAAATTAAAAATAATTTAAAAGGTCAATTATTATTATTATTAATATTATTTTTTTATCTTTATTTTTTTTAAAACCAAAAAAAATAAATAAATAATTATTTTAAAAAACAATCGGGTGGGAATATAAAAAAGAGGGAAAGGGGAAGTATGGAATTAAAAAATAAAATTAAAGGAGGTGGGAATTAAAAAAAAATAAAAAGTAAAAGAAGGTGAAAAATAAAAAAAGAAAAGTAAAGGTAGGTGGGAATTAAAGAAAAAAAAAGGTAAAAGATGGAAATTACAAAAAGAAAAAGTAGAAGTTAAAAAGAAAAGTAAAGGAAGATGGAAATTTAAAAATAAAAGTAAAGGAAGGTGGGTAAAGGAAAGAGAGGAGGGATTTTTTTCTTTCTTCTCCTAAGATCTACATCTAGTAGCAAAAGACAAAGGAATAACATCAATTTTTTCTTCTAAAACAATTCCAGCAACTTTACCCATTCTTCTCCACCTCAAAACAATCCTTTTTTGTTTTTTACATAAAACAACCCATTTAATATCTGCAACTATCGCCCAACTCAATCAATTTTAATCCTTCAAGGATGTTGATTCCGGTTCGGGTTTTCGGGTCTATAGCTCGACTGAAGATTGCTGTGTGTGGAGTTTCCCTTTCTCTGTAATCGTTTGCAATTTCAAGCAATAAAGGTTCATTTGTTTATTCTTATTCTCCTAACTATTTGATTCCATTGAAGTTATTTGGAAGATTTGTTTCTATTATTTTTTCTTTTGCTCTTGTATTTTTTCGTGAAAATGACCAACTGTTTTGGTTAGTTTAGTTGATGTCTTGTTGCTTGGATCTATTATTTCAACTTCCTTTTTTTTGTTTTTGTTTCAGGAGCATGAGATTTAAGTTTAATAATCTGTTTGTTTTGTTTAATAAAATCTAGAAATATGAATAGAGATACATGTTAAATTATTGCCCATTAGATAAACCATTTAAGCCGTAGTACTAATAAGTAATTAATTAGGAAGATCTAATTTTCTGTGAGTACTTTATTGTTGTATTCATGTTCTTTTAGTGACGAATCAGTGCATTGTGATATTATTTTATTTCGTTGGAGTGACCCCAATTTTGAGACGATAAGTGTAACGACTCTGCCGGTCGTTTTGAGTATTACAGTCTCGTTCTCTCATTTACTGCTTATTTTATGCTCAACTGTTGTTATGTGACTTGTCGGGGTAGTTGTATTATTGTTGGGGATGTTTCACAATGAATTGTGACACTTAGTCCCAAGGTTGGAAGCTTAAGTTAAAAGAGTTGACCGGATATTGACTTATATGTAAGCGACTCCGGGATAAAATTTTGATGGTTTCGATAACTTCGTATGGTGATTTTGGACTTAAGAGTGTGTTCGGATATTTATTTGGAAGCACGTAGTTGATTTTGGCTTGGAATGACGAAAGTTAGAAAATTTGAAGTTTGGAAAATTGAGAAGTTTGACCGAGGGTTGACTTTGTGGTTATCAGGGTCGGATTTTGGTTCCGAAAATTAGAATAGGTCTGTTGTGTCATTTATTACTTGTGTACAAAATTTGAGGTCAATCGGAATTGATTTGATAGGTTTCGGCATAGATTCTAGAAGTTGAAATTTTTTAGTTCTCATTAGGCTTGAATTGGGATACAATTTGTGTTTTTGATATTGTTTAATGTGATTTGAGACATCTACTAAGTTCATATCATATTTTAGGATGTGTTGGCATAATTGGTTGAGGTCCCGGGGGCCTCAGGTGGATTCTGTATGGTTAACGGATTGGAATTTGGACTTAGAAGGCTGCTAATGTGCTGAGTCTGGTTTCCTTCTTTGCGTTCGCGAGGGAGGCGAAGGGCATCTACATGCAGGTAAGGATTTGTTCTTCGCGATCGTGAAGAGGGCAACATGATCGTGAAGATTTGGGTGAGTTGTGCATCGCGAACGCTAGAGGGCAGTCGCGTTCGCAAAGAAGAAAAGCAGCCTGGGATGGGACTCATGCGATTGGTCTACACATTTGTGTGAATGGCTTCACGATCTCGAAGTTTGGGAACATTTTTTGTCATTGCGTTCGCAAGTGGATCCTCGCGTTCGCAAAGAGGAAATTTTGGGCAGTAGCATTTTGTGCTTCGCGAACGCGAAGCACCTTCCGTATTCACAAAGGGTAATTTCCTGGGCAGCAGAACATAAGTTTTGAAATTAGGGAGGCAATTTCTCGGGATTTTGATCTCGGTGTGAGGCAATTTCTTGGGAGATTTTCAAGGAATACATTGGGGTAAGAATTCCTAACTCGATTTTGGTTAAATTACACGAATCCATTATTATTTTTATCATTAAATTAGTGAATTGAGTTGAAAATTATAGAAATTTTTTAGCCTTTAAATTAAGGATTTGGAGGTCGAGTTGATGTCGGAATTTGGTAAATTTAGTATGGTTGGACTCATGGTTGAATGGTCCTTCGTATTTTGTAGCTTTTGTCAGTGACATTCATCATTTGCATATCATATCTCAGTCTCTGTTTCCATTCATTGATATATCATATCATCATGTTGGGCTGATATTCATGACATTGTGAGCCCGATAGACTGGAGATATTGATGACTGAGTGAGGCCGAGGGCCTAATTATGAGTATAATTATGGGATTGGGCTGCACGCTGCAATATGTTTTATTGATTTATGCCATGATTGGCTTATTATAGTACTTGGGCTGGATCTGCCCCTCTGGAGTCTGCACACCCACAGTGCCGACCGATTGGGAGGATTAAGTGACTGTGAGGAATGAGTGACTGTGAGAATTGAGTGGCTGAGAGGATTAAATGCATTGATACTCTGAGAGCATACATATGATTTTTCCATTGTGTGGCATTACAATTGGCATGTATAATTGACATGCTGAGGTAGAAATGTATCACCCCTTATTTCAGCCACACTTGATATATTTTACATGTATTGAGCTTGACTGCTGAACTTGAAAGCATGTCTACATTTTTGTACTGTTATTTTCTATATTTGGATTGTACCTGTTGAGCTCGTCACTACTTTTAGCCCAAAGGTTAGTCCTGTTACTTATTGAGTACATTGGGTCGGTTGTACTCATACTACTACACTCTGCACTTCGTGTGCAGATCCAGGTACTTCCGGATACGACGACTGCTAGATCTCCAGAGTTGTATATGTTGGAGACTATCGAGGTAGCTGCCTTGGCATCCGCAAACCTTGACTCTCTTTGCTTTTGGTTATTTCTACTGTTCTACATTTCTAGACAGTATTTTTATCAGTCTTACTATATTGTCATTTAGATGCTCATGTACTCAGTGACACTCGAGTTTTGAGAATGTAATGTATTGAGTCACGATATTTTGTATCAGTATTTATGAGATTTCACTCTTAAGTTTAAATTTATTATGCTTCCAAACTTATAAAATACGTGATTTATTGTGGTTTTTGGATTGCCTAGTATTGCAATAGGCGTCGTCGGGACATTTAGAGCCTATGGTACATAGGTCTCACGAGTCATGAGCAGGTTTAGTAGAGTCTTGTAGATCGGTACGGAGACGTCTATACTTATCTTCGAGAGGTTGTCGAACCCTTAGGAAAATTTTACTTTCTTGTATTCTGGTCGTGCGAATTTGTTGATTTAGGGAAATAAACTTTTGATATTCTATTCTCTCACAGATGGTGAGGATGCATGCTACCGGATCTGGTGGATAGACACCAATGCCACCAGCTAGAGCTACGAGAGGTTGGGGCCGCGGTAGAGGATGTGGCCACGGTAAAGGCCCAGGTGCAGCTCGTATAGTAGCTAGAGGAGCACTTGTAGACCCACCAGTTGCTCCAGCTCAGGAGCGGATTCCAGATATAGTTGAACCGGCGGGACCAGCTCAGGCACCAACTGTGCCTATTATGATTCCAGGCCTTCAGGAGGCTTTGACCCAGATATTGACTGTTTGCACTGGCTTTGCTCAGGCGGTTTCAGCTCAGGCTGCACCAACCACTTCTCAGGCCGATGGAGGTACTCATACCCCAATCGTCGGTACTCCAGAGCAGGTGGTGCAGGTACTTCATATACCGGGGGTACTACCAGCCCAGTCGGTTGCAGTTGCTCAGACCTAGGTGGGTCATGTTATGAGTGATGAGGAGCAAAAGAGACTAGAGAGATTTGGGGGGCTCCAGCCTCCATCATTCAGTGGGGGTGAGTCAGAGGATACTCAGGATTTCTTGGATAGATGCCAGCGGATTATTCGAACGGCGGCGGGTATTCTGGAGAGTAGTGGGGTATTCTGGTAGGAGACCTATGAGAGAAACAGCCCAATCGATGCTGCACCACTTTCATGGCAAGAATTCTCCGTTCTCTTCTTGGAAAAGTTTGTGCCACAAACCCACATGGAGGATCTGCGCAAACAGTTCGAGTTGCTATGTCAGAAGGGCATATGTGTGACCCAGTATGAGATGAGGTTTTCAGATTTGGCTTGCCACGTAGTTTGGTTGGTTCCCACAGACAGGGAGAGGATTAAGAGGCTCATTGATGGCCTCAACTATCAGTTGCATTTTGTTATGACTTTGTAGAACGTAGCAGGTGCTAATTTCGATGAGGTGACTGATATTGGTCCGTAGTCGGGAGCGTGAGGAGAAGGAGGCCAAGAGGCCTTGTGTTTCAGGCAGTTCCAGCGGTGTTCCTTCTGGGGGGACAACCCTACCACAACAGGGGTCGTCCTTATACACCGACTCAGATGGCTCATCCAGTTCATCATGGCGCATTAGCTAGGCATGGTTCATACAGTGCTCGACCGGGTCAAACATCTCTTAGTGCACTCCTAGCTTAGAGTTCATCATGTGCTCCATCAGCTTAGGGTTCATCGGTACCAGGTTCTTCTAGCAGTTATTCTGGTTCTCGAGGCTTGACTCAGTCCCCACCACCACCGAGTAGTTACTTTGAGTGCGGGGAGTTTGGACATATGTGGAGACAGTGTCCTCGATGTTTGGGATGTTTAGTTCAATAGAGGGGTCAGGCTATGACCTCCGCACCAGTTACTTCACCACCCGCTCAGCCAGCTCTGGGTGGGGCTCAAACAACTAGAGGCACCATCCATTATCTGGATATATCCCGTGAGCCCTTAGTTTCACCTGTTTATGTACCTACGCCAGTGGGTGATACTGTTATTGTGGACCGCGTGTATCGGTCGTGTGTAGTGACTATTGGGGGATTGGAGACTAGAGTTGATCTCTTATTACTTAGT